AGGCAGAGGCAGGATATAATGGAGCCTGTGAGTGCGGTTCCATGCCTCTAATCATGGCGAGAGGCAGTTCACACAGAGCCCTGTATGTCCCTGCTACTGATAGGTGAACCCTCAGGGTGCTGTGTTAAGAAGGTCCTCAGAGTTAATGGAAACTAGAGTCCAGCATGCTGTATCATATGGAACACAGAGGGCCATAGGGGGATGTCTGGAAGGAGCAAATCTTGGGAAAACCAGAAATGCCCAAACCCCTGCTCTGAAGTGGGGGAGTTTCTAATGTGACACCAAGCTCAGAACCTCCGTGTCTCCTGTCCACAGTCTAGTTTCTGAGCTGAGCCTAGGGCTTAAGTGATTATAGCAGTGCCTGTGACCTAAAATCGAGAAAAATAGTCATGTATGTCCTTAAATTTTCCTTAAGGAAAAATTATTAAAAGTCTCTGTGGGGTCATAGATAAACCGAGAAGATGTGTGGAAAGGTTCTGGCACAAGAGGATAATCACAGCCCACACACACCTCAGAGGCGGAGCCACAGCTATTAACTTCATTAGAAAAGCATTTTGACTCATTCAGGATCTGTAAGGTTTTATTGTCAGTTTTGATAGGTCTAAGTATAATGTCACATCTATCAAAACACAACACTATAATGAACACTAATATGAACCAGTACAGGCTTCTGCCAGAAAGTTTTTTTCTTGGTTCATCTGGGAGGCAGGCAGCTAAGAAACAGCTTAGAAACCACCAGAGTGGGTTATAGGCCACGTTCACCTCACAGCTTCAGGGACTCTTGTGGTTTGGGTATGAGATGGCCCCTGGAAAACTGTGTTTTGAAGAAGTGGGCCCCTGTGCAGTGATGAATTGTGAGTGTTCTGACATTAGTAGATTTATCCATGCATGAACTCGTCACGCGTTGTCATTACTGAGAGGTGGTGGAAATAGGAGGTGAGCCTCAGTTGGGAGAAGTAGGTCTTTGGTGTCTGTGTATCTTTGGATGGTGTATCTTGTGTCTCTAGGGAAAGAGAGGTTGGGGAGAGGGGAAGAAGAGATAGGATGGAGGGGGGGAGTTATATCTGCCATATGTGTGTGTGTGTGTGTGTGTGTGTGTGTACATGTTTGTGTGAGGGTGCGCATGTATGTGAGAGCGTGTGTACATATAGAGGCCAGAAGATGACCTCAGATGTTATTCCCCAGGCAGCATCTATCCTTCTCTCTCTTCCTTCTTCTCTTCTCCATTTTTTTTGTGGCACAGTCTCTCACTGGTGTCCAGAGATCACTGGCTATCAAGTGAGACACAGAGGTCCACCCATCTCTGCCTCCCCAGCACTGGAATTGCAAGCATGTGCTACCATGTGCAATTGGAAACATCGGCTCTGGGGATCAAACTCAGGCCCTCATGCTTGTTAAACAAGAACTGATGATCCCCCTCCCCCCACACTCCCCCACCCCCACCACCATGCAAAGCTGGAGTCTTTTATGACAGTGTCGCATGACTTCTGACCATGTTTGTCATGTGTTGATGTTCTCACAGGCTGACAGATGAACAGGAGAGAGGAGTGGGATTTGGGACACGATAACTGGGGCGGCGGGGCACAAAAACATCAGACTCAGCAAAACAGACCATGTGTTTCAGGAAGATACATCGAAAGTAGAGAATCCCTAATGTCCAGGCCATCACCAAAGTGGCCATTCTCAGCCTGACCTATTTAATAAAAAATAGAAAACAGAGCAGCTGTCCAGTGGGGGCTTTCACCTGGTCTTGTGCTGCTTTCTGCCAATGGAAGGATGCAGTTGGTTTGGATGTAGTCTACTAGATAGACAGGAGAGGCAAACTGTGTGTGAGAGAGCTGCTGAGCTGGAGGGACCCAACCAGGCTCCAGGGTTTAAGCCGTGGCTGCAACGTTTCTCTCACCTGTGCAGAGCTAACTCTCACCGGCTGTGTACTTGCAACTCATTTCCTGTGTTTCTCTCTGATATCCTTCACCTTACATCGGGGGTGGAGTCTTCTTGGACAACTTGCATCTGGCACAATGGACTCGAGTCAGTGATGACAACACAGGGGATGCTCAAAGTCAGAGACAGGACCGAGCAGTTCAGAACAAAATGGATCTCCAAGTCTCATCCCCTCTTTTCTCCCTCCATAATTCCCAGATGTTCATCCCCAAGTATTTCTCAGGCAGCGCATCTGTCTACATCACCAGGCTGCCCCCCCCCAGAAGCTTCTCCTTTCAGGGCAAATCTTGGCATCTCAAGAAGTACCCCACTCCATGCAGTACCAGCAGAGCTCAAGAGCCCCCATGGCAGTAGGAGAGGCTGCACATGCTGCAGTCTGTTTCTTAACAGAATTTCTGAGACGACTTCCCTTGAGCTCATAGTCCAGACACTGAGCTCATTCTGGCCATATTTACCTTTAATTGGATGGTGGGGGCCACTATCCCCTTTCTCTAGATAAATAACTAATGCTGCTGGTGAAGCCTCATGTCATGTCATGCCACAAGGACTGGGCTACGTTCAGTGGTGGAACTTTGGGATCCTCAGGAAAGAGGAAAAACGAGCATTCTGTCTGTCTTTCCGGTTCACAAGGCTATTATGTCTAAGGCACAGGATCCAGGAGTAGAGAGGATATCCAGACTGCATTGTAGATAATGAACTCCAGGTATCATTTTGATAGAGTCCTAGGTGTCCAGGGTCAGGGATGACCTTGAGTACAGTTAGCATTTAAAGTGAGATTGCAGGGTAGGACCAGAACTGAGTCAAGCCTTAATACTGCTAACTTCTGGGTGTTTCTAGCATTTGCAGTGAGGACTTCATGTTTCCTCCCTCCAAACTGCCTCCTTCTAACTCTGTCCTTTCGGTTATTTAGGGTTAATTCCCTCTCAGCCTCTGGAAGGAGGAAGGGGGGTTTGAAGGGTTCATTTTCCTGCATCTGTGTGATGCTGCCCTGGATTCCTCTGTGTTTCTGTAACATTTTAAAGGAAAAGTGGGAAGGGCTCTGTCAAGGGCTTCTGGTAGACAGCTCTTGAGAAGCTTGGCAATGTGTATTTGGTGCAGTCTAAGCCTGAGAAGCAGCTTCCTAGCCCTTGGGTCTGGATCCCAGCTATTGGCTTACAAACACATGGGCCCGCACGCTCCTCAATAAAGGGAAGCAATAAGGTAATGGTTGGTTCTCCGCTGATCCATATCCGACCGAGAAGGCTATAAAAATGGTAATGTGTGTATTCATAATTAACACACTAGCCATAAATCATCTCAGAACCAAGTTATGAAAACAAGGAATCACACATATCGCCATTGGGGTGAAAATTCATTTGTGCAAAAGCAAGAAGACATACCTGGACCAGAGGAGGTAGATGAGCTGTTCTCCAACTTAGTGCGCCAGATAGGGAGGGGAAGCATCAGGGATGCCCTTGGTCCCCACAGTGAGCCTCTATGATGGGGAGGCTCCAGGTAGACTTAAGAAAATATGGTGACTCAAGCAATTTCCTCCAAAGCAAAGCACGCTCTTCTGAAGTTAGGAGGAGGGAGGCTCACGAGACTCAGAAAGTCCCTGAAACTAATCACATCTTCAGGCATTTCACCTAGGTTATGCGAGCAACTATTTGATGAGGAGGCTCTGTGACCAGATGAGCTACCTACAATCGACTGTTCAACCTGTCTTCCTGACTCATGCAGAGAGGTCTGGGGATACAACTCCCACAGCTGATAACCCAGGCTAGGGTAGAATTTTTAGTGACGTGGATGCCTTTGGGTTATCCATGCTCTTTCAGCCTGAGAAACTCATCGGTTTGCCAGATTGGACCTTTCGATGCAATGGTCATTTTGGCCTGTCACCATTTCCCTAACTGGTATGAGCAGATAATTGTTCTCATCTCCCCAGAAAAGTCTCACACAACGTGACCACACCCCAGAACATAGGAGACAGACCCTAGTGATTCAGGGACTATCAGAGCAACACTTGCCAGCCTACATTTTATTCCCAGACTCGCAACAGGAGCTATGGGTTCCCTCAGCCATGGCACTCACCTGTGACATGTTCATCACCAGGGCTGTAGCTGTGCTGAGGTCTTTGTATTGAGTCTCTGTCTTGGTAGATGCAAGATCACAGCTCTATGTATCAAGCAGGGTTCTCTAGAGGAACTGATCCAGTGGAATGTGTTGTAAGTTTTCTGGTCGGACAGGGTCCCAGACCCTTGAGCCCCAAATAAACACACAAGACTTATTATATTAACCATGAAATTGTTGGCCAATGACTAGGGCTTCTGATTGGCTAGGCCAGTCTTAATTATTAACAAGTAATTACTAAGCTGTGTATTTCCATGTGTTATTGGCTTACCGGAGAATGCCATACCTGCAACTCCTTTCTTCCTGGGCTCTAAATGACCCTCCTTTGACAGACTCTCCCTGCCTACCTCTCCCAGAATTCTCCTTGTCTCCTAGTACTGCCTATCTTCCTGCCTTATTGGCCATTGGCCAAACAGTGTTTTATTTATCAACCAATAAGAGAAACACATACAGAAGAACCAACCCCCTGTCAATAATGTGTACCTGATGGTTCACTAGCTTGGCTCCTACAACAGGCTGAGTAGTCTAACAGCAGTCACCATGCTCCAGAAATGCTAGGAGCCCAGTGGCTTCTCATTCCACTTGTCTGGATGTCTCAGCATCCCTATCTGGCTCTGAATGCCTGAAAGATCCCTGGAGAATCATTGTAGTTTTCAGTCTACACTGGGATGCTGAAGACACTAGGTTCTAGGATCCACAAAAGATGGCAGCAATGGCAACAGCTGCCACCTGCTGGAAGGTGTGGGAGGGTCTTCTCTCCCTGTTAATGTTTCTGGAGAACACCTCACAAGCTGACAGATTTGTCACCACAGTCATTGAGAGGCCAAACTGGACTAAAATCCCAATTCCCAGATTCTCAGGATGACAAGAAGATCTGGGCTCTACTTCCTGCAACGACACTGTCTTATTTTTTTCTGCTGCTGTGATAAAACACTGACTGACAGCAATTTGGGGGAGAAAAGGGTTTATTTATATTACAGTGTACAGTCAGTCCGTCATGGAGTCATGGAGGCAAGTTAGGGCAAGAACCTGGAGGTGGGAACCGAGGCAGAGACTGTGGAGAAGAGATGCTTTCTGACTTGCTTTTCTATACAGTCCAGGTACACCTGGCCAGGGTGGTGAGATTTACAATGGGTTGAGCCCTCCTATATGAAACAATCAAGAAAATGCACCATAGACGCCGTGTATGCCAATCTGACTGAGGCATTTTTTTTTCAGTTAAGTTACTTCTTCCCAGATGACTCTAGCTTGCAGCAAATGGACAAATAATTAACCATCACAGGCGTCTTGCTCAGCATAGGCTATCTACCTCCTCTCTGGGGAGCTGATAGGTGGGACTTGAGGACTAAACATGTTCCTGACCAGGATCCAGGTAGACCCAGTCCTGACCTACAGAGCCCTGCCCAGGGTACTTGGATCTAAATTAGACCAAAGACAGTCCACCAACAGCAATGCTCTCTGGGTAGCTTTTGCAGAGGATCTGTTTTCCTGGTGCACTTGAAGGTTTAAGAGTTACAGCATCGTGGGGTTTCCTGGGCCAGACAGATGCTCCTTGAGTGATTTTCTAAATAGAGGATCAGAAAAATGCACTTTTGTCAGCCCCATCTGCAAGGATCTCTCCTCATTACTGGCAAGCTCGATGAAGCTCATGCTTTCTTACACACACACACACACACACACACACACACACATGCGCGCGTGCGAGAGTATGATTATGCATTCCCCCCCCCCAAGGCCAGTTACTGTATTATGCTCTTTCGGCTGTACCTTTCTTACCCTGGTTGGATTATAATCATCTGGTGTTAAGCTCCTGCTATATACAATCCAAAGATCAAGCAGGGATTTTATGGGCAGCTTGAAGCTCAGAAGAAAGAATCGAGTTGAGCGTCTGCATTCTAAATGTATCTTCTCTCACGCTCTGAAAATATAACTGAATAAAATCAGGCTATTATGATTTAAGTAGCCAGGTAAAATCAGAGCTGAGAAGAGGCAGCCCAGGAAGCCAGGTGTCATCAGAAACCTGTGTGCACAGTGCATTATCCTCAGACCTCACTGAGCTCTGTTAAGCAGACTTCATCCCTTTTCCAGCTGAAGGAACTGGGTGGAGGTTGTATGACTCAGCCAAGGCGATCTGGCTGGGATGAGGCACTGAGCTCCGCCTCCCAGGTGCTGTGTCACTCCAGCTCTGCCTTATTGCCCTTGGCAAGTATCCAGCCTCTTTGGTGACTGAGGCTGAGGCTTAGACATGCAGCTCACACTAGGAAGACTCTCCTCTTCAACTAACTCCTCAAATCATGATGTGGTCACCTGCGAAAGTGCTCTGAAAACTACAAACAGGCACAGAAATGTTGTGATATATTCTTTATGATTTATTAAAGCTTGCCTGAGGATTCAGAAAGCAAAGTTCACCTCAAGCTATAGAGGTCAGGCAGTGGTGATACACACCTTTCATCCAAGCAGCCAGAAGCTAGGAGATTGTGGTGCCCCACCTTTAATTAATACACACCTTTAATCCTAGGATCCAGGATGGATATCTGTGAGTCCAAGGCCACCCAGATCTACACAAGACTGATCCAGTCCTGAAGAGAAACAGCTCACACAAAGATGAACTCAGCACCTGGGATCACACGCCTTTAAACCCAGCACTAGAGGGTTATAAAAGATAGGAGCACGATCTCCAGTAGTCAGTATCAAGGATCCACTCACCAGCCACATTGAGGACAGGAAGACATTGAAGTCTCAGGATTCTCCAGCCACGATGAGGAGAGGCAGCAGTCTGAGGTTTGGTGGAGCCAGGATTGCATTTCAGTCTGAGGTAGAGTGAGAGCTAGTGGCCAGAAGCTTTGCTTTTCTGATCTTCAGCTTGAAGTTTGAACCCCTTTATCAGTCTCTGAGTCATTTATTTTTCCTGCTACACAGACATGTAAGGCTAGTGATATCTTTGTTAGGGGTCAGAAGCTCCAGAGACGGGTTTAGCTGGGTAAACTAACAACAGATACTTCTGCAAAGCCCGTTGGAACTTCCTCCAGATTGCAAACTAAGAGTGCTGAAGAGGAACTGGGACAGGAGGGTAGATTCCATTTTCCCAGCAGCCCTAGCTTTCCTCATTGTGTATAGTGAGGTAGAGGAGAACAGAAAGCTAGAGCATGTTATTGAGTAGAACCTTTCTTAACCAAGGAAGGACAAGATACGGGGCTATCTGATATATGACACTCGCTAGCCATGTACTTGGAGATCACCTCTCCAGCACTGGTGTCCATCCATCTCAGGCCTCAGAATCTTATTCTATAATGAGGAAACAGTGTCTTCATAACAACATGTGGGGTTCTCATGAGGACCCACATTTGATAAAGCATCGAAATGTTGGTTCAGAGTGATGCAGTGTAGACCAGCCATCTTTAGCCTCAGTGGACAAGCCCTAGAACTCAGTGTTTACTACAAGAACTCCAGGAGCTCTGGCCATGCATCCTAGGGACACAGATGGGTTGCACACTGATCAAACTTTGAGGCGCTATGCCACTGTGTTCCTGTTGGATCTCAGCTGGGTTGCACTTTTCCCCTACTGAAGGAATTCCACAAGCACAAGCATTGAGGGTGTATTCCTGCCCAGCTAAACTAGAAAATGTAGAAACAAGGGTTGCATCTAATATGTCATGAAGACTGTGAGGTGCTATGTGTCGGGGTTGTGCTGGGAGGAACAGTTTAAAGCCACACAATGCCACATCATCAGAGAAATAGTAATTAGGGCTGGGGGCTCTCTCCAATGTCCAGGGTTGCTGTGTCCCCTGAGATCCTGAGTTAAAGACAAGGAATCCTTTGGAGAGGATGAGCTTCCTCATCAAGAAGGAGACTAAGAAGAGCAACCAAGGTTTCTTGATAGTCTAGTTACAAAGCAAAAACAATCACCACTGGTGAAGAGCGACACCCCTTGAAGGTGGAGACACCAGTGTGTGACAGCTTTACGGCTCTGCGCAGCCAACTTGCCACTCTAGTTCATACTGTCAGCTTCATCTTTTAGGCACAGAGGAGTCATTCTGGGTGAGACTGGAACATTTTGCTAGGGAAAGTTTGGCTGAACCTAATGATGGTGTTTCTCTGTGGACTCAGGAACTTGGGTTTCAGAACCTGCTTCCCCTGCCTCTCTTCCAGGAGAGCCAGGTTCAGCAGTAAAATGTCCAGAGTTTGATCTAACAGTGACAGGGGCCAGATTGGCAAAGACCGATAAATCCAGCTGGAAGATGGATCAGTGTAGAAACTACAGCCAAAGCCAGTGGCGGTAAGGCAGTAAGACACCTGTATTTTCACAGGGCTGCTTGTGACCACAGGGTATGCAGGCTCCATCCCAGGAGCCCAGACTCTTGCTCTAGCCTCTTTCTGAAGCCAGGTATCCAGCTGCACTTCTCATGCATGACAGTCTCCTTTTTATTTTAAAAATTTCAATCATTTAAGCGTGGGAGCTTCCAGATATGTTCCATGAGTGCATTTAGTATTGCATCCACACCAGCCTTCTGTAAATAATCTTATTGTAAATGGATTTATAATCAAAATGTCCTAGATAGTTACACGTTTGCATAGCTTGAATAAACAGGTGAGGACAGCAAAAATAACAAAACAAAAAAACAAAAGAGCAACCAAAAGGCTCAACATCAAACAAATGTGTCTCTATTAGCTATTAGAAGCCTTTGGAAGCCTCACTGATTTAAGCAGTGCCCTTCCTGTCTCCTGGCACAGAGAGTTCACTGTTCTTTGTGAATGGTTCATCCTTCAATGTGTTTGCTGGGCCGTGATTTACTTATGCACTTATGGGCTTTAATGAAGCTAGGCAAGGAGCACTCACTGAAAACAATTTTGGAAACATTTTCATAGAAGGGGAGGGAGACATGTATTGGCATTAGGGACAGTCCCTCCACGTGCCTGCTTAGGGCAGCATGTGCAGCTCTACAGCTTTTCTATAGGAGCAGGTCCTAAGCTGAACTCATTTCTCCTGGGTGTGAAAGTACCATCACCGTCCCGTCTCACGGGTGGCACTGTGCTGTTTGGTGTTGCCGGCACTGATTCAAAGATCAGCATTCATGAGCTTTGCATGTGATGTGTGTATTCTACATTGAAGAAGGTTCACTCCACACCAGCTGTGGCAGGGATAGAGGGTTACTGCTTTTCTCTGCTCATGGACTAATGCATAAGCTCCGAGAAAACTCTGAGAAGTGTCATGGGCAGTAGATATGGACAACAGAGGGGCTTGGTATAGCCGAACTGGGAGCAAAGCAGGCACTGAGGTCTTCCTTCCATAGATCTCATAGGCTATAGGCACCAGCAAGTTTACAAACAAACCTAGAGCAAGGAGAACAGCCGACCCAGTGGAGACCAGAGGGGAGGAGAATGCGGAATGGCAGTTGTATGTCCTGTAGTGGAGTCTGGAGTTCCTAATGTGTTTTTGCCAGAGTAGCAATCCTATAAGGATTCTGAAAAGCCCTCGTTCCTAAATGATTGTAGCATCACTCAGAGCTTCCAGAAAGAGTGAAGGGTCCCAGAATATTACTCACTAGTTCTCAGAAATGATGACCTATGATCTAACAGGGAGCATGTATCTGGGGAACTGATGTCCTGAAATAATGTCAAGTGTGGGCTTGTTCACATTTGCCAGCCTCTGTATGTCTTTCCCCATCTAGGAAGAGCAGGGGTATGGTCCATTCTCTGAGATTTCATTACACAATATAGAGATCTTCCCTTTCCCCAGTACTGTCACAATGGTCACAGCCTCTGCCTACTGTTGAACACTGAGCACCAAGTGGCACTTCTTCAGGGGAATTCTGTCATCTTGAGAGCATCCATCAAATCGACTTTGCCCAGTGGTCAATGAGGTCAAATGCATTTGTGGGTTTCTGGTCTTCTTTGGTAAAGGGTATGGTAGGCCTTGGTCCACTTAGGAGTTGGACACCTTATTCTTTTCTACTAAGCTTGAGAATTGATCATACACTCTGGAGGCAGAACTTTTGTTGAGTCTGTGGTTTGCAAAAATTCCTGGCTATGACAAACAAACAATCCCTGGTCACAAAGATTTTCTCCCCTTTCTTCAAAAGGGTACAACCTCTCCATCCACTGTCTGAGTAAGGACACTGGAGATTATGGTTTCAGGATGGTAGCAGGAAGATATGGGGACTTGAAGACTCTGGCACCAAAGATAGGGTCTCATTCAACAGCTCATGTCAAAGCAGCATGCATAGGCACATACACGCATGCATTTATAAACATAGGTGTATATGTATGGATGTGATTGTACGCATGTTGCCACATATTTGTGATCACTGGGAAAAGTGTCCTTTATCCTAACTTTGCTAGTTACATTTATGCATGTGCCGTGGTGTGTGTGTGGCTGTCAATGGAGCCTGTGGAAGTCAGTTCTTTACTTTCACTTAGTGGATCCCAGGGACAGAACTGAATTTATTAGGCTTAGTGGTGACATAACCTGCTGAGTACTTGCCCAGTCCCAAAACTTGGTCTTCATTTTACTCACTCACTTATGTAACAAGAGATAGCCAGTTCTCTTCTCTTTTTTTCAGCTCTGTCATGAGTTCCAGGGAGACAAAGCCAAGAGTCCCGATGGTATCCCAGGCCTGCCAGAAAGGAGGCAGGCCAACAACAGTCAGCACTTCAAGCAGTAGTGACTTGCTGAGCCATGACTGAGCATCCTAGAGACCAGGGTTTGGGACAGTGAAGTTGCTGAGTCATGGGGCTGTATCAGTGGATATCATTTCTGAGACAACAACTTTTTATGTGTCACAGTATCTCTTGTCACCTACAGTTAAGGTCCCTTGTGTCAGGTTTCCTTCCCTCTGGTATTGGGAGACCGAGAAGCACATGGGTTGCCAAAGCTTAAGGCCTTGGTTATGGGTCTCAAGATGTTGGAAGGGTGCACTTCAACCATGGTCAGCAGGAGATAGCTGAGGAAGTCAGGGCCAGCTCCCTGGGGAGCGCTCTCCTCCTTTATTCCATAGAGGACATTGTGTGTCACACTCTTGGTATTTCTGTCACATACATCTATCACATATGCCAACTTTCAGGTCTTTAAAACTATAGAGTGAAATACTTAAGGGGGAAAAGACTTATTTCCAAATTATCTTGCATGCATTTTGTGTTAGGTGAGTTCCCAGAACATACTTGCTACTTAATAACAAATTGCCATTAAATAAACCAATTAATCAGTGAGTTGAATAAATGTCAGACTGGTAAATGCTGACCTGTTTGCTCTTGTCTATGGTGTAAATACTGCCATTATGGCCGATTTCAGACCACCAGTTTGGTATCTATCGTTCAGTTCACAAAACTACTAACAACTGAGCAATTGGCATTCACCAACCAGTACAAGACAGGAGCTCAGCTCTTTGGTGTGCCAAAATGGAAACCACTGTGTATGTATGGGTGGAATCTGGT